AGAAAGGTAAGCAAGGAAACTGCAAAATTTTGAGAGAGATTGATTTATCGGCTAAGTAATCAATTTCAATTTCAAGTAGGCATTATTTCAAGGTGTTCTTAATTTAATTACGACTGGTTCCAACTATTTTTGTTGGGTTTCATTCCCTTTAAATTTTAGACACAATTAATTGACTCTGAAACCCTTTGAAAATGCTTGTTTCTGGGAAATGGGATCTTTTTCATTCTTTTCATGGCATTTTAAAAGAATGTTTTCTCTCTTTGATTTGACTATGTTTTCTTTGATGAAAATCGGATGGTGATGTTGGATTTCTCCGAAAATTATGTAGCTTTTATTTTATGTCCACATGTACAGTAACGACTACATTATAAAAAAGGCCCTACATCAACCAGTTATCCTTTCATTCTTGAGTTACAAAACATAACCCAGAAATATCTGATTTACCAGGGGTATGAATAATTTAGTTGTTCACTGTATGCGACATGGACCGTAATGTGACTAATCAACTTGATACTTGATAATCAACTAATCAACTTGTAAAGTTTAACTTCAATACAGCTCATATTTGGCACGTCAGCTAACGTGTGAGTAACATATAATTGATATTTACTCAATTTCAATCTAGGGTCCTAAAGGTCGAGTATACATGAAGTGTGCGTATAATTAGATGAGTAAGTGCTACATATTTATCTAATGCATTTTTCTTCTTGACTTCTTTTAAGTCGGTCTAGTGATCAGTGGAAACTCGATAGAACACGTGCGAAAAGGGAGTGTGAATCTCTCAGATTGGATTGTTACGGTTTTATAAACCTTAGCTTATTCTTATTTTGGAGGATCTAAAATATAACTTAAGCTAAGCAGCCTATCATTTTCTCACTATTCTCTCTCACGCTCTGTATGTATCTATCTAACTAACAAAAGTTTCTCTCCCTCCCTCTCTCTCTCTCTCTCTCTCTCTCTCTCTCTTTGTCTATCCCTTTGCTGAAATTCATTTTACTTCTCGCCTAAATTTGATATCTGCACGATATCAAATTTGTTACTTTTTCTTACCCTCCTTTGAAAGTAAAGTTCTGACTTTGAAGGCAGAGCCATTATTTTATCCAGCTAAATCAAAGTCAAGTTCTGACTTTGAGGCCAGTGTTTGACTCTGTCCTGTCCTTCAGCCAGTCTCGCGGGCTGAAAATGGGATTGACCATGGTCGTGACTTTGAGAAAATATATTCTCGCCCGACTCATCTAGTCGGACATATTAAGCTGGGCCAGGCGCGTACGCAGGATTTTTTAGAGGTGGGGGGGGGGGGGGGGTAAAATTTGAAGATCACGCCAAAAATATCGCAACGACTCAGCCAGCCGCTGAATAAGCTAGAGGGGGGGGGGAGCCTCAAAATTTTAAAATTTGGCCGACCGATATTTCGTATCGTTGGGGGGGGGGGGGAGGATTCTTCAAAGTTGGCCGAACGACCAGCAGTCGACCAGCGAAGAACAAACGCACAGAGTTTCCAAGCTAGGTACTCTTTCGACTCGACTACCTTGATTGATTCAACTATTAAAGAACCAGACCTTGCAGGCGTAAATGGTAAAATTTGACTGAACGCCAAAAAGTACAACCAACAACATCAATATGCTGTTATCTCGAATAATTAGGCAGAGGCGCGAGAAAAAAAATAGCAAAACCAAAATCAATGTATTGTCTACTAAGCCATTACAAACTTTGTAAAGCATTTGCAAAGTTTGTGCAAGAAGGGAGTATGTGCATCTTGTATTGCTTCAATTCCAGTCAAACTTTTAAACTATGAAGAGAGTAAACACCGATTTAATGGTACCTAATCATTGAACTTCATGATTTTCTTTTGATATCGCGTCAAGTAAATATTTGCACTTGATTTGCATAAAATACAACTACATTCACGAGTCGTCAAACCATTCAAAAAGTGAACAGCTTGTTTGTTGCCTGTATTGCTATCTTCGTCTTGAATTGTTTTAAACTAGAGCTTCAAGATACAGCTTTTAGCATCGCTGTGAAGCCTTTTATCTGCGAATCTCGCCATGTCGAAAAGTGAATTGCATTTTCTAACTATGAGGATGCTTCAGACATGTCAGCGATTTGATAATAACCTTTTGTTTGCCTTCAAGTTCGAATTTGATGTGATTCAACATTTACTCCGGCAAAATAAAAAGCTGGGCTTTATTTCGTTAAAATAATGATTGCGGTCCGGATAGGGTTGGTATTGGGTTTTAGATAAGGTTTAGGGTAAGTGTGAAAGAGAAGTATAGTTTGTGATCCAGGGCTTAAGTCAAAGATTCACCGAGGAAGAGATATTAATATAAAGCATATCTCACGAGCAATTCACGTTTAACTTTGTTTTGACGTGCTTTGTGCATTTCATATGTTGAAGAACAATTTAGTATGGCACTTTGTTTGTGTTTTAAGTAAATAAAACAGTAGAGGTGAAGATATAATTTATAATTCTTTCAACTTCACATTAGGGTTTTGAAGTTGATCGTTATGTTTTTGCTCTCTGAGAGCATTTACCATTTAACTCTTCATAATGCCTTGCTTTGAACAATGCAAGTTCTAACGTGTGCATGCTCCCACTCCTCCTCTCCCCCCCTCTCCCTCTTTCTCCCATTTCTTGTTCGTACTCTCTCCCTCTCTCTCTCTCTCTCTCTCCAGTTCCCCCTCTTTAGTTGTATCTTCATTACTCTCTCTCTTTCTCTGTATCTCTATTTCTCTCTCCAGCTCCCCTCCCTCTTTTTAAATGCTTCTCCAATACACAAATCTCTGGCAAATGTTCCTCTCTGTTACATATATTGTAATTTATGTTAACCCCCCCTTTAAACCTGCATAATTTGCCACTAACCAATGTTCAAGGCGAGTGTAAAATCTATGTCTCGTCCCTCTGGTGTTGAATACATGCCTGTACCCGTTGATGACAATGGGTTAAATTATAACCTCCCCGCACCTCGTTTAACTTTCGAAAACACTTTACGTATGAGAGAGATATCAATGCCAGACGAATATACCAATGATTTATTAAGCATCTTTTAAAGCAAACTCTATGATTATCTTCCAAGTAAATTCATATTAAGCTGATGAACGATCTGGTAGAGAAATAAACATTAGTGATATATTGAGGAAGACAATGACATGTTATTAGAAGCTTACATATTCAAAATGAAAACGAAAGTCATGTCACTTTATTTCTTACATAATTTTTAGAATATCATCTACATAAATTTCCCCCGTCATTGTAATGACAGTTGCATATGATTTATAATATACAATATAATTTCTAGGTTCAACTAACATTTGCCAAGTGCTATAATAATAATAATAATAATAATAATAATACATTTTATTTCTATAGCGCTTATTACAATGTTTCTAAGCGCTTTACAAAGTTATACTTAGATAATAATACATTCAATAACTATAATTAATATATACTAATCAACCTACAATTAATTCAAAATAAATAAGCGCAAAACATACATTTGCAATTCGAGGATGCACAGAAATCAAGAGTTGCTCGATTTGGTATGCCAGCCAAGCCGAGAAGGCATTTTGCCCGCAGATATTTCTTCATACTGTACATGTTATTATCGTTTATTTACGTTCGATGCGAAGAGCATTTCTGTATAAACAGAGTACTAACGATTGGTGTAACAAGTGCAAAGTAATACATGTTCATCTATTCAGTATTTTTATTAACATATCAAGAAGCGACGGAAGTTCGTTTCATAGTTAATATTTGCATTCCTGGTGTAAGACCACATCGATGTACAGCCAAATGAGTTTATGCTAATAAGCCAACTGGTTATATGTTCTACCGTATTGGCCTACATCAACCATGTATACATCTAAGTCTTCTCATGTAATCTTTCTATTTTTTCCGTTTAACCTAAATATTTTGAAAATAGTATTTTGGGAGCTAAACGATCGATCAATTGAAATTTGTATAAGGTCGGAATACCAATTACGGTAACTGTGGCAAACGACTAAACCTTAAATTTATGACATATAAAAAGTAGTATACATGTAGATAAAATCAGAATTATAATCACAAACATTACACAGAACATTATTAGCTTCAAACCAAATGTATCATAGGAAAACATGTAGAAAATAATATACATCAACGCAATATCATAATGTTAGGGTATCTGGTATGCTTCCACCACGGTATGAAAGGTTTAGAAGACCTGAACCGTCGCAAGCTAAAATAATGTAAGTAAACTTGACTTGATGAAGGTTCTCTAATGATTTCTTTTAACCTGAGTGTTTTCTTGGAAACAAGTTTTATTATATTTACGAGGAAAAGGAGCAATATTTTTTCGTGGAATGTATAAATAAGAACGAGTTGAGAAATCAGATCTACTTCGCTACTTATGATTCCGCCTACATGGCTTGTATCTAAGGTAGTGGATTCCTCGTTTGTTTCCCAACATAAGAACTATAGAGGGGCTCAGACATGTCTTCGGGTAGGACTTGTATTTCATGGCTGGGCTATTGTTCAGAAGGTTGAATGCTACTTATGTTGTTCATATCATCACCATGATGAACTTCTTCTGATGACACTATGTATACATTTTGTTTTGAGAGAATGGTTTACATACATTTTATTGCGGGGAAGTTGATAAGAGTCACAAGCTGTCTAGGTCTTCTCTGCATCTAATGATCTTATTCGGATTCTGCCGTCTGGCGCTAGCCAGGTTTTTTTTTCCATTTTTAATACAAAAAATACAAAGATATAAACAATAATAATTATTTGCAATATATAAGAAAATGAAGTAAAGGAACTAAACAAAAGGCCAAGTGTCCTCGTGGAGGCATAGTTCTTCGAACAGTAGTTAAGACATTTGCTTATACAAACACAAATGAAAAGGACACATACATGACAAAACATGACAGGGGCATCGTTTATCTTCAGAATCCACTTCAAATATATCGAAGTCCTCTGTACTGCGCTCCTGTAATTGGTCAATATGTTGACTCCTACTTCAATCTGTCAAGTCCTCCTGGGTTTTGGAAGCCATGTCTCCTAAATGCCCATCTCGGGGAGGGTGGATACTGCTTGATGTAGCTTCCTGAAGTACCTGGATGTCAGTGTGTCCTTTGGTCCGGTCCTGTTCTAGAGAGGTCTCATCTATATTAGAGAGCTGCTGATCATTGACGTCTTCGTTGGCATATTCAGCATCGATCTGTTCTTCTGCTAAACCTGACCGGCAGCAAGAAAGAAAACTAATATTTGTTTCCCCTCAAAGTTCATAGAATCGGAATTATCATGATTGTGTAGAATTTATAGCAATGAGTTTCAAATTTCTGTTAGTTTATGGTACCAGGAATAGTAGAAGAGAACTTGACGTTATTAGTCAGCATTTGTTTCGGCTTGTTCGTGTGCACAGATAACGAGGAAAATGCTTAACGAAAGTAGGACCTAAGCTCTCTTTTTCTTCATTTTTTTGCATTACGTTACCGTAAGTTTATATACCAGCAGTGTAAATGTTGGAAATGAACTTTCAGAAATACTATCAATCGAACTCTAAACATATTGGCCATATTGTACACAAAATATAACAGCATGTTGCGGAAGTGTTGAATGGGGTCCTTATTACGAAACTACAATAGTTCTTTATGAAAGTATATGTTACCTTTGCTGAGATACAGGTCTGCAAGGTTGACCAACTTGGCAGCTTGCAGTGCCTTCGTTAGCTCAATCCGTTCATCTTCCCTGGACACACCTCTTCTCCATTGTTTCAGCATATGGCGAGTTCCATCACTGGTAAAACGGTTGAACTTCACATTGGTCATGAGCGCTCTCTGTATATCACCATGTAGGATTCCCAGCTGACCAGCGAGGCTGTCAATCTTGGCTTCATCGTAAAGATCGTCAGCTATCTGCTGCAATATGCCTGCAAACTCATCATCTGGGGGCTCCTCTCTAGAATGGTACACAGTAATAAAAAAAAAAAGACAAACATGGGGGGGGGGCGGTCAGAAAACGTAGGTATGACGTATAAACTTAAAAAGTAATAGTAAAATCTTTACTAAGATGAAGGAAAGAAAAAACGGGAAAAATACGTTCTCCCGGTGATGACACAATACTCAACATGCTCAAATTATTTATATAAATTCATTAAAGGATTTCACTTTTTTAACTTTAATCACCATAGACTGGAATTCAGCCAAGATTGTCATTGTTTTTGTTAATGAGTTTCAATCTTTTATTAACTTTTGCTTTTACACAATCACAGGTGGTCATGAAATTTCTAAACATGATTTTTATTCATAGAACATATAAGTGCTGTCGTACTTTTAAAACTGTTATTGACAGTCTAGCATCACTCATTTTACACAAAAAAGTACATTCCATAGTAGTTTTGTCACTACAAGATCAATAATGCGTTTATTGTCATGTAAAGAATATATATATATATTTCATCTCACCCTGCTTGTAATATATGACTCCTTCCCAGCCCTCCGCTTGAATTATCCTCAAAAGATGATGTGCCTGTCATGACGGAATAAAGTAAGTTTGAATGAAGAAAAAAAAAAAGAGAAATATTTTTACTGATCTTTATCGTTCAATGTATCTCTATATGTTATTTTAATTTGTAAAGTATAAATAATGCACAAGCATGTAAGCTCTAGCGTCTTTGGATAATATAATTGAATGGTGTTATTTTTGGCATAATGACAACTAAAACAAACAAGACATATATCAATTTAGATTGAGGACCATATTAGACGTGATAAGCTTCACATTATCAATATTTTAACAAGTAACCAAAGATGGAATAGGAGTTATGTAGCATATTGTAGATATCAAAATAGGAGTTGGAAGGGAAAATGAGATTGGAAAGTTAAGTCTTACCACCCTGAGCTTGTTTCCCAGAGGTCACCCAACGAATGAAACTCCATTGATGTGTCTCTGCTTTCTTCTTCTGCTCTGCTGATCGTATCTCACTTTCTAGTTGAATTTTGGTTCTCAGCTTCCAGGTTTCACGCTCAAGTTGCTCCAAAAGCTGTTCCTTATAGTCATGCTCCTTCTTTAGCTCTTCAACTTGCTGTCTTAGAGTCGTCTCATTTCGTTCTTTCTCCCTTACGGTTTCTATCAAAGTGTCTACGCGCTGTTGCTGAGAGTCGAATTTCTTCGTCATATCTGCTGCCAATGAGCGCTTCTCTTTCTCAGATCTTGCTCTGTCTTGCTTTCTTCCTTTCTCTAACTCTTTAACTTGTTGTGTCAGCGTCGTCTTATTTCGCTCTTTGTTCCCTACGGTTTCTGTCAAAATGTTTACATGCTGTTGCTTAGAATCGAGTTTCTTCCTCATTTCTTCTGCCAATGAGCGCTTTGCTTCCTCAGATCTTCCTCTGTCTATTTCAGCTTTTACTCTGTCTTCCTCTCTTCCTCTCTTTAGCTCCTCAACTTGTTGTGTTGGAGTCGTCTCATTTCGCTCTTTATCTCCTACGATTTCTGTCAAAGTGTCAACTTGCTGTTGCTTAGACTCGAGTTTCTTCGTCATATCTACTGCCAATAAGCGCTTCTCTTTCTCAGATCTTGCTCTGTCTTCCTCTCTTCCTTTCTTTAACTCCTCAACTTGTTGTGTTAGAGTCGTCTCATTTCGCTCTTTCTCTCCTACGATTTCTGTCAAAGTGTCAACTTGCTGTTGCTTAGACTCGAGTTTCTTCGTCATTTCCTCTGCCAATGAGCGCTTCTCTTTCTCAGATCTTTCTCTGTCTTCCTCTCTCCCTTTCCTTAATTCCCGATTTTGCTCTTGGACCTCTGTGAACATCTTCTGATTTGGTTCTTTCGCCTCTTTCACCTCTATCTTGGTTTTCTCATAGTACAACGTACATCGTGGATTCGTGTACATCTTCTTCAGATCATTAGCTGCTAACGTTCTGTCGCCTTCATGAAGGCATTCACGTAGAAGTTCAAGCCACTGCAACTGGTCGTCATCTGAGAGAGAGCCACCAGGTTCATGTATTTCGTACATATCAGTGATCCCGAGCTGCTTCAATTTATTTCTCGCTTTGGGGACATCTCCGTAACGAAATATAGCACATAGACGGACGCGGCCTATTCAATCGAAATATATTCAATGAGTTAAATTCGCCATAACGTCCAAACTCATGATATTTTTATGACATCTACATACCACACCTACGTCACATAATATCCTTTTTTCTTCCAGGGGGGGGGGGTAACACTAACGAATGGTGAAAATCTGAAAATCTGAAATATTTCACTCAAAACTTACATCTTCCTTCAGACATTTAAATTATGCTATATAACTTTATTGGAGGAGCTCGCGCCTTTGAATGTTTTTGAAACAGATAAATGGCGCCATACAAATGCTGTGAATCACCATCATCATCATATATGTGTGTTTTTATCAGTATTCTCAGTGGCATATCATTTCCTGCCATATTTAAATTTAAAAAGAATGGGCAAAATCGAGTGAGAAACGTAGGGAGGGAGATAGAGAGAGAGAGAGAGAGAGAAATAAGGATGATAAAGGAAGGAGACTGAGGAGGAGCCGGTATAAGGAGTAAATGAAGTGAGTAATGAGATAGTAATACATTTAAAACTATGATGATGTAAATGAAATGTAATATACTTGTGGTAGAAAAATTAGTCGGGACAATCATGTTATAATAGACTGATGATGTTGTTTATGATATTGTTTAAATACTACAACTTCAACGGAAAAAAGGTTGAAACATGATTGGGAAATCTAAAGATCGGTAGTTAGTGATCGTCTCAAAATCCCAATTCTTGTAAAATCACCGTGATTATTCGATTGGTTACCAAACGAGGATATGAGATGATATGTGCATGCATATTAACTCTAATAGAAAAAATGAATCTTGTTCAAGCATTTTAATGGATGGTATGATAATCAAATTAATAGGAAAATAGTGTTATCACATCGGCCTATTATACATATTAACACAGGCCTACACAAGCAGAGGAAAGTATTAACATGCAATTTACGAAGAAAGGAAAAAGTATATTATTTACAAAATGAACGGAAAAGGGGGTTGTAAGAGTCCACGATATCAACGTGATCAGAATTAATGGTGTGTAATTAATATAGATAATATAGAAAACTTAGATAAAAACTTGATTTCAAGGTCAAATCATGTACTGTAGCATATTCAACTCTACTCTCGATCTATTTTTCGTTATTTCTTGACTTTGATATAATCCCCTTGATCCTTAATTCGTAGAGATTTGTGGCTAGAATTGAAATTAACCGAGTTCCAATAACGTATAAGTGTTTCAAATAAAGGATATTTTTAAACTTAAAAACTTAAAGTGTTGTTAAGGGGAGAACCAAAAGTTAGCACGAGTGCTAGTCGGGAATGGTTTTTTCCGAGTTTCTAAAACGGTATGCAAAGTCATATTAACATTTATTTTGTCTTAATATCATATTATTTGATCCTAATGATTCATCTCTGCTTAGGAGTTTAATTCTGAGATTTTGACGAAATGATGATCTGGTTTTCTTCTCTTATATTTATGGGCAAATTATTCCACAGCTTTTCTTCTTCTTCTTTCCCATCTGTACATATACCATATATTCCTACTAAACCTCTGCACTCAGAGAGCATTAGCTCATTGATGTCTCGAGTTGGTGTCAGCTTGGGTTTGTCCATATTAGGTCGCCCTCCCATGGTTGGGTTGTTCGTGCTCATATGACATATATTTTAACACACACTGTGGTCCGAATTCACAAAGGAGGTTTGTCGACAAACCTAGGTTTTCGTGCGTCATATGACGCGTTTCGACGCGTTTTTACAAACAAGGTTTGTAAAAAAAAAAAAAAAAAAAACGCGTCAAAACACGTCATATGACGTATATAAACCTAGGTTTGTCGACAAACCTCCTTTGTGAATTCGGGCCGGTGAGTTTGTTAGCTCACCCGGTGTGATGGGGATGTGTGCATATTCGGGTATACATGTGTGGTCATCCATGCTGTGGTCGATGCATCGTTGGGTAGTTGTTTTCTGAGAGTATTTTGTAAATAGTTTTATATATTCCATATTTGTTGTTGTATTCATGAATTAGTTATCTTTGTCACATTATATGAGGGGGCCTTAACTTAAGAAGCTGTGCTGCAACCAAGGTCTCATCATCTTCCTTTATTCTACATTGTACTGTTATGATTATACTCAATTATATTTTGACACATGTGTTTTCTGGAAGACAAATAAACTTAATACTTGATACTAGATACTTGATTGTATACATGTCCCAACTTTCTTAAATTTTACTTCATTGTGTATATGTGGATAGGCCATGTTTTTTATGTATATCCTTAATTTCTTTCTTTCTCTCTGTTTATGTACAGGGCTTTATGGTTGAACACGATTGTGAATGAGCTACCCTGTTTTTTAAATATGTGAATAATGATTAACAAAAAGAAATTGCTTGTAGAAATTTGATTATGATATAAATTGAATAATATATTTTTTTTTTCATGTCCTATTCATTACTGACGAAACATTATTGTGTAGCAGGTGTCATTATTGATATATACCTACACATGTAATAACAGTGCATATAACACAAAACACCAGATACGTAAACAAAGTTAAACAACCTACATAATGATTCATGCGTTATAGCATTCTGGCTAGTAACATTATTTATTTAATTAATCATTCTTTTAACTAATACGGTGGTGTAAATCAACGCCTTTTGGTGTATACTGTGTGTATCAACAGTGCAATCTGTATGAATTCAAAATTGTTTAAAGATAAAACTTCATATGTCTTCACTTTATGATCCTACCTACCATGAAGGATTAGTGGCAAACTCACCTGTATTCCTCTTTACTATCTCGATCCACCTTTGGTAAGAATCAACATGAAGCGGGCTGAAAATAAAAATAAGAAAATACACCGATTCAGAATCGTTATTATTCACGTGGTGATGATTGAAGGGTTAATGATTGAATTGAATTGAATTGAACCAAGATTTATTGAAAAAAAAACATGTGTCGCAGCCCAATAGCTGAATTGATCATGTGTACAAATAAAACACTCATTGCATATTTCAAACATAAAATACAGTTACAATTAATTTGTCAATATTGAAATACATGCATATATAGTTACTAAGATACGATTGCTTGGGCAGCAAAAATAAGAAAACAGAATATAACATTAAGTCAGGAAAACGGAGAGGAGTAACATGAAGAAAAAAGTATAAGAGGAAGTTGTAGAAAATGCATGTACATCAAAAAATATAAATTGCATACATTTATTTTTAATGATATTAACATGATTCTGCAACCAAAAAAAAGAAGAAAAAAAAGATGCAGAAACCAATAAATCAACAAAAAAATAAAAAATCAAAAGGCCACCTCAAAGAAGATAACGTGTATGTATTTGTTATACACTACACTTATAATAATTGTTCATTGTGTTCTAACACGTTAACCCTATACGCAAACCTTAAGCATATAACAATGAAATTGTTCTCGCTCCGTGGGTACGCACCATCGAA